ATATATATATATATATATATATATATATATATATATATATATATATATATATATGTAATTTTTAAAAGTCTGGTATGTAACTCCACAAACTAATTTTTTCAAATATCCGGTATATTGAATTTTCTATATACACTACCAGATTGTTTGATTTTGTATGCTTGTTCTATCGAATTTTTCGTTTGGACTTTTTAATAAAATTTTAATAAAGATAATATGAATATTATGAAAATGTGGCAGGATAAATTCTCTAAAATTTTCCAACCCTTACTATAACTCCACAACTTGGGCCTAACATAAAATTTTTAGAGCCCATTTGTGGCCCACCAAAAACTAATCTTCATTCCTTCGGCGTACCCATCATCTCTGACTCGCTTTGTCTCTCACAATTCCACCTTTGACTCGTCCGAGTCATCACGCACCCTCACTACATGTATGGAACTTCACACCCAGTTGATCAAGTTTGGATTTTCCCGCCACCCAAATCTCAGAAAACATTTGACAACACTTTATTCAAACTCTCGTTGTTTTGGGCATGCCCGTAACCTGTTTGATCAAATTACTGAACCAAGTACAGTTGTTTCGTGGTCTGCATTGATATCTCGGTATGTGCAAAATGGGTTTCATAAAGAGGCCTTATTGGCATTTAATGAGATGTGTACATTGGGTGTTAAGTGTAACGAGTTTACATTCCCAAGTGTTCTCAAAGCATGCTCAATCAAAAAGGATTTGAATATGGGGAGAAAGGTTCATGCCATGACTGTGATCTCAGGGTTTGAGTCTGATGCTTTTGTTTCCAACACTTTGGTTGTTATGTATGCCAAATGTGGGCAGTTTGGCGATTCTAAGAAACTGTTTGGTATGATTTCGGAGCCGGGCGTTGTTTCGTGGAATGTCATGTTTTCTTGTCATGTGCAGAGTGATTTCTTAGGTGAAGCTGTTGAGTTATTTAAACGAATGGTTGAGAGTGAAGTAAGACCCAACGAGTTCAGTCTTTCGATTATATTGAATGCCTGTGCTGGATTGCGGGGTGGGAGTCTTGGAAAGGCAGTTCATGGTCTTTTAATGAAGCTTGGACATGGTTTGGATCAATTTTCTGCGAATGCGTTGGTTGATATGTATGCTAAAGCAGGGAGGATTGAAGACGGTCTTGCTGTTTTTCGAGAAATTATTCACCCTGATACTGTTTCTTGGAATGCAGTTATTGCTGGTTGTGTTCTTCATGACTATAATGAGTTGGCTTTGATACTGTTGAATGAGATGAAAAAGTCGGGAACTTGTTGTCCCAATGTGTTTACATTATCAAGTGCCTTAAAAGCTTGTGCTGCAATGGGGCTTAAGGATTTAGGTAGACAGATACATTCTTGTTTGGTAAAGATTGATACTGATTCAGATTTGTTTGTGGCTGTTGGGCTAATAGATTTGTATTCCAAGTGTGAGATGATGGATGATGCAAGAAGAGCCTATGATTTGATGCCAACAAAGAAGGATAGTATTGCATGGAATGCGTTGATCTCCGGTTACTCGCAGTGTGGTGATGAATTAAAAGCAGTCTCACTTTTTTTCAAAATGCACCATGAAAATATAGAGTTCAACCAAACTACTTTGTCGACGGTTCTTAAATCTGTGGCAAGCTTGCAGGCAATTAAGTTGTGCAAACAAATTCATACAATTTCTATTAAGTCTGGAATTTATTCAGATTTCTATGTTATAAACAGTCTTCTTGACACTTATGGAAAATGTAGTCATATAGATGAAGCTTCTAAAATATTTGAAGAGCGCGCTTGGGAAGATTTAGTGGCTTACACATCCATGATAACGGCATATTCTCAATATGGCGATGGGGAGGAGGCTTTAAAGCTATATTTGCAAATGCAAGTTGCAGAGATCAAGCCGGATCCGTTTGTCTGCAGTTCTCTTTTAAATGCTTGTGCAAACTTGTCGGCATATGAGCAAGGGAAGCAACTACATGTCCATGCCATTAAGTTTGGATTTATGTCTGATATTTTTGCCAGTAATTCTCTTGTTAATATGTATGCAAAATGTGGAAGCATAGAGGATGCTGGTCGTGCCTTTTCCGAGATACATCAGAGAGGAATCGTCTCATGGTCTGCAATGATTGGAGGATTGGCTCAACATGGACATGGTAAAGAGGCTCTTAAGTTGTTCAATCAGATGCTTGAAGATTGTGTGTCACCAAACCATATTACACTAGTCAGTGTTCTCTGTGCATGTAATCACGCCGGTTTGGTAAATGAGGGGAAACAATATTTTGAAACAATGGAGGAAAAGTTTGGAATCAAACCTACGCAAGAGCATTATGCTTGCATGATTGATCTCCTCGGAAGATCAGGGAAACTAAATGAAGCAGTGGAGCTTGTGAATTCCATTCCATTTGAAGCTGATGGATCAGTTTGGGGGGCACTTCTTGGTGCTGCAAGAATCCATAAAAACGTTGAACTTGGTCGGAAAGCTGCAGAGATGCTTTTCGCTCTCGAGCCAGAGAAATCTGGTACTCATGTTCTCCTTGCAAATATTTATGCATCAGCAGGGATGTGGGAAAATGTTGCGAGTGTTAGAAAGGTTATGAAAAACAGCAATGTGAAGAAGGAACCTGGAATGAGTTGGATTGAGGTCAAAGACAAGATACACACTTTCATTGTCGGAGATAGAAATCATTCTAGAAGTAATGAAATATATGCTAAATTGGACGAGTTAAACAAGCTTCTAAGTCAAGCTGGATACAGTCCCGTCACAGAGATTGATATACATAATGTGAACAAAAGTGAAAAGGAAAAGCTCTTATATCATCATAGTGAGAAACTCGCTGTAGCTTTTGGATTAATAGCTACACCACCTGGAGCTCCAATAAGAGTAAAAAAGAATTTGAGAGTTTGTATTGACTGCCACACCTTTCTCAAATTTGTATCTAAGATTGTTTCAAGGCAGATTGTTGTTAGAGATATTAATAGGTTTCACCATTTTAAAGATGGATCATGTTCTTGTGGTGATTATTGGTAATATCATTAAGATGACTCGTTCATTATCTACACATTCATGGAAAATGTTGATTCCTACAAACTTGGTTGTAAATCATACGGTGGTCCATCGTGGAAAAAGAAAGGAAACGTTCAGCATTGCCATCTTCCTCGATCATGACAACACCACCGTATCCAACCTACTGGCCTTTCGGACGCAAAGAGTAGACAGCATTGCATGATTTCCAGTTGTTCCTGAGGATTATCGTTCACTTCTCTTTTGTGGAGTGTTCAATGTGTGGGGAAAGGCCAGTTGATGCAGTGATTGATACTATGAGCCGCAGTTCTGTTGGCCCTTTGAGAGCTGTTTGTCATTGAAGGACGGCGGTAAGGGAATCAATTTTGTTGATATAAATTTTATCAATAATTCAACTTATGTACTGATATTGCAGAAGTTTCCTCAAACTGTTTTTGTGAGGATTAAGTGCTTGTAAAATAATTACAAAGGGAGGTTCAACAGCTTAATAGCTTGTGATCAGAGGAGTACCACTTCAAGACCACACTGTCTCTCTAGGCAAATGTGAATGTGAATGTCTTTACAAAAAAATTCACTGGCTTACAAAATTTGTGAATGCATATTTTAGAATTCTAGGATAAATTTTCCACCTTTATGTATTACCATTACACAGTATTGTTATTGTTGTGTATAATATCTCATGGAACTATAAATGTTTAGTGAATAAGGCTATTGAAAGATAGCTTTATCTTAATTCTTAAGTACCATGAATTAAGTTTTATTCATTTCTTTAGGAAAGGGGTGGCAAACGGGCATGCCCATCCTGTTTAGATCTGTCCTGTAAAAGCTTGAAAAAAAATGAGGAGGGGTGAAGCGGGTATAGTTGAAGGTGCGGGTCTAAAACCTTAGCGCGCCCCGCATAAAAGTGCGGGCGGGGCAGGACGGTCCCGCGGTTACTGCGCTTTTTAGACCTAAAAATACATAAAATAATGTTAATGCACACCGCAAAAGCTCAAAAATAATGGGGCGGAACGGGGCGGACACATTAGAGGGTGATGACTTAAATCTTTAATCCGCCCAGCACTAAAGTGCAGACAAAACGGGCATGCCCAACGTGTCGGACCCGTTTTGCCACTCCTTATAAAGTGTTGAAAAATATTTTATTTCCTTAGTCATTTATTTTCTTTTATTGTCATTTATTTTCTTTTATTCTCTATTAAGGAGATAATTAAGTATTTTTATTGTATTTTCATTATTTAAGTTTGTCTTTGGCTGAGGAATAAAATTACAACCGTTTTTATCTAATTTTTATAAATAAAAAGACAGTGTCCGCGGGTCCGTCCAGCCTTACCTGCACTTTTGTGAGAGTTGAGTTAAGGTTTTAGGCTTGCATCTTCAAATATATCCGTCCTTCCCCTTCTTAGTTTTTTCTAACGGACTTAAACAGGGCTGTATATGTCCCTTTCTCACCCCTAATTCTTCCTTGTTGTAATAGTAGAGTTCTATAAACACCACTTTTATTGATACTTCTTCATAAATTGAAAATTAGTTTTAACCAAGTGAAATAGTCCTCCTTTAACGATGAAATTTTTCGTTTATTTTAAATTTATTACTACAGAATTCAAAGCAAATAGTCTTGTCCAAAAATATGGTTTTATGAAATTGCTATGCTATGCAGTTTTTTTAAAATGTTTTTTTATACAGAGACGAAGTGGAATAACCATTTGATAGTTGCTATGCTATGCAGTTTCTTTTGGTATGTAGACGAAGTGGAATAACATAGTCATACCCAGTTATGAATATCAGAATTCGAACATGATATCTAAGCTAACAATATCATCTTCTGTAATTTGAGATAGTATTTGAAGACTATGCCATACAGTCTTTTAAAAGACAGGAATGGTAACATATTTTATATCTACAATCCAAATTGACGAGTCTTATCTCCTCAATAGGAATTAAAAAGATAAAAATATAAACTAGGGCTATAGATGATGCTAATACTACTACTAAACTCCTAGTAAAACAGCATACAAAATTTCATTCCAAGTATCAGGAGCACCAGCTAGACACCAATGACTACAATCCTCATAAAAAGTCCCTAGCCCAGTGTATATAGAAGGATGACCATCTATCCTCAATTGTGTTTGCAATGTAATGTCAAGCCAATAAACATCATTTTTCATCTTACTCAAAACATTCTTAACAATCTTTACACCTGGATAACTTGGTTTTCTTCCTTCCTCTGGCTCAGTTTTTCCCATACAATAATTTTCCCTTCAAAAATTCAACAACCATTATAAATTCTGTGTTAAGAAGTAAACTCTCTGGACCTATTTATAAAAAACTTTTGATTTTTAAAATTTATTGAATAATCAATATATCTGATATATAATTTTTAAATAAGACCAGAGCGAATATATTTTACGAAAAATACTTAAATCTAAACTAAACTCACCCTGCATGTGCTGCAGCAATTCCTTGAAATATAACCCTAGTCTTTGATGAATCAATATTAGAATCAGTCCAATTAGACCAAGTGGTTAACCCAATCTTAAAAGCTTCCATGTTGTCCATGTTTTCCATTATTTTATTTCCCAATTGAAAAATCCTGCCAGATCAAAGAGTAACTTACATTTCAGTTCTCTTCATCACAAGTTTTGTTAAAATTATTGTAAAAATTTGTAGCTAAAAACTTCACTACGTTCGAGTTTTTCCCCTGTGAAACCACCAATGGTAGGTATTGAAAATCAAAACATCGCCATGCCACAAATTTCCAGAATTAATAGAATCAAGCTTTAAAATTCTTCTTTTTTTGATATCGCGAACCTTATCCACTAAGTAACCATCTTTCACCCACATTATTGAAACTTCATACTCCTATATAACACATAATAATAACAACATAACAGAGTTATAAATAAATTAATCTTAATAAAGTCTAAAAAATACCAGAATTAAAAAAGAATACCGGAAATGAGAACATAGAAAGATGTTTGGTTATTCTTGTTAAAGTGTAATTTGATTTTGGAACCGCAATGTGAAGCATACAAGCAAGTGAGTGCCACATATTCTCACTTATAGAATCTCCTACAAAAGTTATCTTCTTCCCTCTATATGTCTCTAAGAATTTTATACCGTCAAACCTGTTAATCAACATCACTAATTATGAATCATGAACATTGAAAACACCACCCTGACACGTATGAGTAAGAAACGTTTGAAAACATTACATACATTGACACATCTTTTTATCAAAGGTAACGTTACCTTGGAATATCACAATCAAAAGGCTTCCATCGATATCTGAGGTAATCTTGATCGATTCTACCATTTCTGAGACAATCAAATCCTTGAACTATGAAAGGACAATCACTTGAGGCATCATAGAGAGGATAGTAAGGATCATCAACAACCCATTTTCCGTTAGAAAAATCGCATCGATTTAACTGGTTTTTTTGGAAGGCATTGACATGAACATGGTAAAGTGAAGGTGTCACTGCTATCCACAGAACAACAACAAAAGTCTGTGGTAGAAGATGTAACAAGAAATCAAATGTCATTTGAAATTGTCTGAAATCTTTTCTGATCATGATTGTTTGCCATATGTATAGGTGGGGATGTAATAACAATAACATTGATCCGTTAGTTACGTGAGGTTGTCAAATCTTTTTCAAAAAATAAAATTAATAATAGTTAAAGTTTAAAAATATATATGAATAATATTTGTTGTAAATTACTACAAATTAGTCTTTAAAAGTGATAATTCGATTATTTGTAATTATATCATATTATATATAACATTTTTTATTTACATGAAGATTATTATGGACTAATATGAAAAGATAAAACAATTTAAATTAAATAAAGTCATTCAAGATTAAAAACTTTAAGACTTGTGTCATAATACTCGGAGGTTGTCATTATTATGAACCAACAAATTAGTCAATAATATTGATAAAAAAGAAATAGTCAATAATTTTATAGAATGCTTTAAGAAGATATATTTAGATAGTCTATAGAATATAATTATAACTATAATTTTTGTCAAAAGAAAACTAAGATTCTTATAAATAAACATCACTATAATTTTTTTTGTGTGCAACAATTATTATAATCAGGCAAAAATCTTTTTTTGTTTCTTTATCTTTTATTTAATTTTATTATTAATATTTAATTTATTTTTAAGTGTATGAAGATGAGAAAAAAAGAAGTGAGTTTGTGATAGTTTTAAAAATCTTTGTTATATTCTCAAGCAGAAAAAATGCAACAGAAAGTAAAGAAAACCACATACAATATTTATACAATTTCACCTCGTTAATTAACGGTTGATATCCAATTCCTTCACATTTAATTTTTTTCTCACTATAATCACATTTGATTACAGATAATTTACTATTAGATTTTCTTGCCTCACACTAAAGAGCTTGCAAAAAATTACAAAGGTGTCTATTTGCCGCAAGTCACATAGAGTGATAAACTCAATATAATTTGATTACATGTGTGTAATTTTTCTATAAAAAAAAAAATCAATAAAAGTGCACTTGTTCTAGGTATTTGTTCTATGCTAATATTATAATGATTTACGAAGCTTATAAAACATCTAGAATGTTGTTGTTACAATGACACGACAATAGTATAATTTTTAGTCATGGACGTATCTCACCTTCAATATTTAAAATTATCCTTTACCTAGAGACTTTTTTTTTTTTAATTGTTCTGCCCTAGTTTAAAAAGTTATATATCATATTATTTTAGTTTGAAAAAAAATTCCAACTTGTTCTGACTGCAGTATATGTTTGTCCACTCAAATGGCGAACAGGTGAAGAATTTTTTTTGCATAAGGGTGCTCTTTCACTCAACTAGGAAGCACGTGGGTTTTTTTTTTCTTCATATTTTTATAATACTTAATTAATTATAATAATAATTTTGAATATTAAAAATATATTATATTAATTTAATAATTATATACTAATTAAAAATATTAAAAATATATTATATCATATTATTGTAATATTTAATTAATTATAATAATAATTTTAATTAGAAAAAAAATAAGTTATGAATTAAATAAATAATATTTTTAATTTTCTTTATATATTTTTTACAAAATGATGGATGCTCTTCCAATGAGTTGTCGAGTTCTTAGAGACTCTCGGCCAATGAATAACCGAGTTCAAATATAATATTTTTCTATAAATAGATTAATGCGCATCAATACAAATCATTCGAGCTCGGCGTTTCCAATTTCAAAAATATTTGTCTGAGCTATTATTTTCTATAGACAAGAAAAAAAATCAGTGTTTACCTAGATCCGCAGTGGAATTTCAGAATCGTGGTTGCAACAATTAACACGAGTTTTCGACAGTTGAGTGGTCGTCGCATGAAGGTGAGAAAAATGGAGTATCATTGTCCGTATATAACGTTGACTAATGGAATCCCGGAGGGTACATACATGTATTACTTGGATCGTATAGAGAATAATGAAGATGTTCATTGTATGTTTTCAGCACATAGTGGCGAAGTTAACAGAGGAGTCGAAGATCCAATTGTGTTGGTTGGTTGTTGTCGATGAGCTTGTATGTTAGCTTCTTGAGTTTTAATTTTATTTAGTAGATATAAATTATGGCATGATGATGCTTGACCATCCATTGGACGATTATGATTGTGTCATGATGATGTATGGACAAGCTGATATTAAATTGATGGTTGTAATCTTCTAGTACTAATGTAATCTCGTAGTTGTTAGTAAAAGTTGTCTTGAATTACAAATAAATATTGAATCACAGAGAAATCAAGTGCAAACTAAAAACTCTACTAACCGATTAACTTGAAAAACAAATAAAATTATCTAGACGGTCGATTTGACGGACCGACAACATTTGAACATTTTCTACGCATATGGTCTATTTCTCTGCAAATCTCACACCTTCTCTTTTCCTTTTCAGCGTCGTCTATTTCAGTTCTAATCCTACTACTAGTTGGACGTCCTTTCTTATTTCTTCTCATGGAATCGTTGTGGCAAAGAGTAAATCCTTCACATTTGGCCAGTTCTCCTTGTGCGGTAGTCCCAAGAAGCTTTCCTTGTAGACTTTGAATATGTTAAGAACTGTGAAGACTTCTGGAATGTGAATGGAGTAGTTCTAACATATGCTAGAACATGTTGCGATAACGTGGGAGCAAGGTAAGTGAAATTCCTGAAATTTCCCACAGTCACACTAACAGTTCCTAAGGTCAGCGCTGAAAGTACCCGTCAGACGACCATCATTCTGATTAATTTTTTCCTGCACCATGAAACAGAATCTTTCGCGATCAAATTGCATGATATTATGTGTGTTAGCCTTGGCTACTTCATCAGTCATTCCCTTGTTGTAACCATCCATGAAAACTTTTCTGATAGCTAGCATTTTGGTCAATTTGTGGCCTCGTTTACCAAAGAAGGAACCCATGCGATAATATGTAGACTGGACCAATGCAGTGATTGGAAGGTTTCGGGTTTCCTTTAGTACAAAGTTCATGGCCTCTGCCAAGTTAGGGGTCATATGTCCCTAACATTGTCCTCCATCATATGCTTTAGCCTACTTCTCCCTAGGTATGTTGTCTATCCAACGTGAGGCCTCAATGTCTGTTCTTCGGATTTCTCCGAGATAGTAGTTAAATGTAGTCTCTGTCAATGCGTAAATTGTAATAGAAATGGTATGAAAAATATATTAAAAGTATGATAAAATAGTTCAGATAACTTAAATGTATTTTGTTACCCATGTTAATAAGTTTTTTTTTGTAGTTCTTTGTCCTTAATCTCAGGCATGAAGTTCTGCGCAATGTGTCTAATGCAATAGAAATGTGAAGATGGTGGATGTTGCCATCCGTTTTTGAGATTGTTATATACAATCTTTATCGATTCATGTCTATCCGAGATTAGACACAAATTCGGTTATGGTGTCACATGTAACCTCAAGTTCTTTAGAAAAAAGCTACAGGCTTCCTTTGTTTCACCTTCGACCAATGCGAAAGTTATTGGGAAAATGTTTGCGTTTCCATCCTGTGCCACCGCCATCAACAAAGTTCCTCCATACTTTTCATACAACCATGTTTCGTCTACTTGCATAATGGGCGTACAGTAGGCGAAGCCACATATACATGGTCGAAATGCCCAAAACAGACGATGGAAGATTTGTTTGCCAGAGATTTGGGAATCACCATTTAAAATTGCAGGTAGGGTTTGCAAATCAATAATGGTTCCAGGAAGATAGGTTTTCATTACCAATATCCATTGTGGCAGGTCGTTGTAAGATGTTTCCCAATTTCCGTAGAGCGACTTTATGGCCTTACACTTTGCGATCAATGCTTTCCTGTAAGATATTATATACCTGTATTTTTCAAGAATATGGGCAATGATCACCTTCACCTTAAGTGAAACGTCACGGTTGACAAGCTCTCTAATGCTGTGGCTAATCATTTTTGAACTGAGCTTCCTATGGTCTTGTGCCATAAACGTGGTAGTGCATGTGTGAGGCCCAGACAACTTACCAATCATCTATTTTGAGTTATTTTTTCTCAAGGAAGCTCTGAATTTGAATTGCAGTCTTGTTTCTTACATTTAATTACGTATCATTCATTGTCATATTGGTAAACCCAATAGTCAACACTGTGTGTTATATGCCAATGTTGCAGAGCGAAAATGCAAGCTTCCTTGTTTTCAAACTTCATCCCAATCTCTATTTCGTCACCTATATGGTTTGGTATGAGACTTTCGAACACAGAGATTGGTTCATCATCTTCCATACATATATTCTGCATACGTGCAGGTGGGTTGTACAAACTTATTGGTTCGGCGCGAATTGCCTACGTAGACGCGAATATTATATCTTTATCGTCCTCGTCATCGCTGTTACCAAAAATATCTTGCATCCTGACCTCTTGAAGATAATCGTCGCTTGCTTCCCCAACCTCTTCATTTGGTATGAAAGGTTCGTTGTTTTGTGTTGGTTCGCCGTCATATGTTTGGCTCATTCCATATTGGTGTGATTGTGTCTCTTGCGTCAAAAATGTTTCGGCATTGTCAAGTAGACGAACATACAACTCAATTTTGGGTAACTGAACAAACATCATGTGGCACTGAAACATTGTTTCCACGTCTTCGACGTTCTTGATCGGTGTTATTACGTTAAAAAATGTACCATCCCCTCCATTAAGTAATGGATGACGATAAATAATTTCCTCAACAAATCGTTCTAATTTTTTTCCATCCTATCTTTGAAATGAAGAAAATCAGAATTGACATGAATTTTGAATGCGTAAGTATCTGTGTTACCAAATGAGAGTCCAACAGTACTATCTATCGAAATAGTACCATTAAAGTGACAGGTAACTATTATATTTCTTTGAGCCATATTTGATGTGAGAACTCTATGATTTTGTTACTGGAATGTGGAATGATGATACAAATGTGAGAAAACAACATTATATAATACACATATAATATTCAAATTCATGCAAAGAAATTTCAGCACGTGTGTGCTCGTCTACTCAAAGGACGAACATGTTCTAACCTAGTGTCTGCTCGTCCATTCAGATGACGAACATAGTCGTGTCAAGCATCACCTCGTCACCTCAAGTGGCGAGCACATGAGGTATGCAAAATTGTTCTCCATGCAAGGCACAACATACCAGCTCTAAGTAGTAGCCTTGCATGCATTCCATGAAATTAACAAGTTCCAAAATGCCATGCAGTGCAATGTCACTTCTACTAGTGTGTTATCTTGTCACATTTATTTACTACTCTCTAACTATCCTTCTATAGATTCATGTCTTTTAAAATATTTCTTCAAACATTTTTACACCTCTCACATATCCCTCTTGAAACAAAAGCAAACATTTCTTCACCTCTCAAAAAATTTCTTCAAAATGTCTTTGTTATGGATAGACGATGAACACTGTGGAACACAGTCAAACATTCGAGCTAGTGTAAGGTTTCCTCTACTATTCTATGTAATAATTTTTATAACTTTTGTGTTCACTATTATTTCCTTTTTTTTCCAGACTAATGCAAGGTTTCAAGTGCATTCTCATGCTCACATTCAAGCAAGTGCATGAATAATCCCGTTTTTGCAGTGAGAATAGGATATCAAATTATTAATTAATTTTAATCACATCTTTAGTTCATAACCGATCTTTGATTTATCCTAAGGGAAATGTCAAAAGAAGGAAAACCTAATTTTTGCATCGTAAACAATGCGGGGAGAGATCTAGGTAAGGGGTTGGTTAAGCTTAGGGAAGACATTAGCACCCTAAACTTCTGTAGTACTCTACAGAAACCTCTTGTTTTATTATTTGCTATTTTGCTTGATTATTTGCTTAAAGGGTATATACTAAGGGTTAGAAGGTGAAAAGAAAGACTTAAGGGTTAGTCCTAAGTTTACTCGCCAAGATTCGCATCTTGTGCCTACGTATCCGAGGTAGGGGATGGAATCAGAGTAATCTAGTTCCCCTCGAAAGGGAGGTTAGAAACTTCTTGATTGTGGTCAAGGTTTCATGGGGAATAAGCGTTCATATGGAAACGCTTACGTGGAGTGCGGCGGCTCTTATTTCTACATTGAAAAGTTAAATTGAATTAAAGGGCTAAGATAGGCATTCCACGACGGGAAACCTAAAACGGAGTGCGGCGACTCCTTGACCTAACACTAGGATAAAGGGTAAAATTGTCCACAGCGGACGCCTAAGCATGAGTACGGCGACTCAACGTCGTATGGTTTGAAAGGTGAAAGATGGACGAGGGTTAAGTACTATTGACGCGGCGGTCAAACGACTAGACCTATTCCTTCGGAAGACAAATTAACGGAGAAATAATGAACAATGGAACAGTTAATAATTGGAAGATGAAATAATATACAAGTGATAACGGAATGAATTGTGAATAGTGATGATGACGTTAGATAATGTGCGAGAATAAATATAAATACAAAATGAAAAGGTTAGTAAACAAATTCAAGACTAAATGGGAACTATGTTAGGAATGAAGGATGAGAATTAGAATGGTGAATTATGACAAATTAAATTTAAACAAAATATGGTCTGATGAGATCTTGTGGGGAAGAGTTTGAATTATACTTAAATTAAAAAGGGGTCAGAATTTTAATAAAAAAAGTTAGAAATTTATGATATACAGAAAAAGAAGAAATTGAAGTGCTAGGATTTTAATTTTAAAAAGTCAGAATTTAAGAAAAATATTAGAGTTTTAATTTAAAAAAAGAAGAGTGATTAAATTTGATTTTTAAAAAAAGTGTTAGAATTGTTTTTAAAAAGAAAGTTAGAAATTTATTTTGAAAAAAGAGTTGGTTGGATTTAAGTTTTTTTTAAAAAAGGGTTAGAACATATTTTAATCATGTTAGAAAAAAGTTTAAAAAAACAGTTAGAAATTAATTAAAAAATTAATTTTACATAAAGCCGTTAGATTTTTTAATTACAAAGAGAAGTTAGAAATTAACTAAGGGTTAATTGATAATTAAAATTAATTACAAAAATAGTTAAAAAGCAGAAAATATAAAAAAAAGACAAAAAAACTGATGGGTCTGGGCCGGGTCACCACATCCCGGACCCAACCCGCGTATAAAAGGGGATGGCTTCCCAAATTAGGGTTTGTAACCCTGTTGCCCTTGCTGCGGCGCCTCCCTTCTATGGGTTGTCTCTTGCATTTTTTCCTCTCATCTTCTCTCCCCCGATTGTTCTTCTTCTTCTTCTCTGAAAAAACATGTCAACCAAAACATTAATGGGTCTTGCATCTTACGTTTGTTTTTGTAATCTCTGGATGATCGATGATGCCACGGGTTTGGACGTGGTTCTGGCCGCGGTCGGAAACGAGAAATAGTGTTGGTGTAGCCGATGATGATGAAAGTCTAAGGCTTAGTGTCGGTTTGGACGGCGGATCGTGAGGATGACGATGGTGTCCGTTCGTTCGTATATCGTATGGTTATGATTCGCTATGATGTTCCTCTGATGGGTTTTTCGTTGTGGCTTGCGGAGATTGGCCGATGATGAGTGAAAAGTTCTGAGGCCGTGGTGGGTGTTCTTCATTTTCCGTCGGTGATGGTTGAACGGTGATTTTATGATTTGCATTTTTGCGGCCTCGGATTGGGATGGTTTTGGATGATAATGATTTTTAGGGTTCCCCCTCTTGATGCCCCTTTTTGATGATCTTATACTGTCTGATTTTAATCTTTTTCATTCTTAATTTTGGGCCTGGATCAGATTTTTGTGACATCATTTTTATGGTGATCTCTGAGATTTGATTTGATTCACCATTTTGATGATGTTTGGATTTGTTTTGGGTCTGATTCGGATTTGATTGTTGTGATTAGATTTTTGTGATGATCTTGGTGATGCAATCCAAATCTGTCGTACTTAGTCCCTTTTGTAAGGGAATCAATTTTGTTGATATAAATTTTATCAATAATTCAACTTATGTACTGATATTGTAGAAGTTTCCTCAAACTGTTTTTGTGAGGATTAAGTGCTTGTAAAATAATTACAAAGGGAGGTTCAA